TGCCCTCACAGGAATCTTTTTAAAACATAGACTGCAGTTATCACTGTTAAAAGGAAACATCACATTTTTCAGCATAAAATATGAAGACTGAGATGACAGGAAGAGAATCAAGAGGTAAAAATGTCCAGCAATGCCAGACTACACGGTTAAGGAACATGAAGGTACAGGAACAGATTCAAGGCACAAGTAAAAATAATGTTCTTGGGCTGGACAGTTGGTTAGCATTGCATACTGAAGCTTTAATCCCCCATTCACTCTGTCCTTTCTAGATCAGAGTGACTATTAGTCTAGACTGTGTAACTATTTGTCTTCATTTCTAGCAGATAAACCATTCCTTTTTTTTAATTTATTTTTTTCAAGCCGCCTTTTTTCCACTTCACATGAAAGTGGATGAAAAAAATGCACAGTGCAAAAAGAAAAGTGAAATATGAATTTTGCCATGATTTCATCCTTAGTCAAGAGTGAAAGATTTTAATGCTGGTATTCTTCAAGGCCTGTGCTCTGATGACTTTGACCAATGGTCTAAGACTGAGTCAGGAAATCAGATCCGTTACTGTCTTAATGTATGAAAAGAACAGAAGCAAAGTGATGCAGCTTCATCAAGCAGCTATCATTCCTATGGAAACCTGAAAGGTAGTGAATGTCAATCTGAATTTAGGTCTTTCAAAGTGAAATGGCAGACACAACTAAATTTCTAATTATCTAGATTACTGCAATTTTTTGTTGGAATTACTGAATACAAAATTAAATATTTTTACCCATGCTTTTCAAGAAAGTAACAGATTTTTAATCCTTCTTATGATAAAAATTATATCTGTTACAAAGTAAATTTGTAGCTGACAAAAAGTAAACTCTAGTTCATAAAGATTTAAAGCACTAGTAATTAACCTGAATACATTTTATTCAGTTAATATGATGCTTAAGAATTGCAAACCAGACTAAACATATGTTCTGTTGAAAGCAAAGCAGACAATAAAAGTGAGTCTCTTGTATTCCAAGAGTCAAGGAGTCACAGAAACATGTATTGTTTCTCCAGTAAAACAGAACAGAAATTACTCTCTACAAAGAAGAGAACCTATTCTACTGAATCACTAACGCAGAAGAGTCAGACACCATGGATGAACTCCAACCTACTGGCTTAAGGGCAAGATCCTTTGTGATTCGTAGGGGTGCAAATTTACCTGATGTTTCAAAGTTCAAGCATAGGTGTTTTCAAGGTTGTCCTTATTATTACCATTCAGGATAAGAAGTCTAATTTTTCAAAGGTCACAGATATTTAAGTCTCCATTTGTCTTTAAATTAGTTCACAAAAGCAGGTAAGAGACAGGACATAGATAGGGATCACTTAGATGAGGGAGTAATGAAGAAGGGGAATTACCGTAAACTACTTTAAATGTATGTGGAAGCTTTTTAACGTTTTTCTTTCTTTTTCCTGATAAAATGTACTATTGCGGACAACATGTTCCCTGCTTTATATATAACGTAATACTATCTTGTACGCTTTTTCTTTTATTAAGACTTCTAGTCCTGATGTTACTTACAGCAGTTTTTTCATGCATAGTTTATGACTGAGACTTTAATCAGAAGCCTGTTCACCTGCGCGAGGCAAACAGCTGGAAACTGCTGTCCTATCTTCTGAGTGAATTTGTACCGGGATTTCCATCTGCGCTATATATGTGCCTGGAAGGGTACCAACAACAATTACTGATCATCACAAAGATCATCCCTAACTGATGGCTCTTTCAATGTCATTTTTGAAGACATTCCACAGTTTTCTCTCAGTTCAGAGAAAGTTTTGAACCACAGTGCTGAAGGGGGAAAAAAGCCAGGAGGCAGATTTCAGAGCAAAAATTTTGTCACATATTGAAGTTCTATCCTTACACGTGTCCATGACGTGCAGAAAGAGGACTCCACAATCTGTAAGACTGTGAAGTAGGTATGTTCATCCAGCGCTGGGCAGCACGGGGGGTAGTCCCACCAAAGTTGTGCGCGCCCCAACGCGGCACTTACTTCGGGTATATACAGCAAAGTGTTGCATATACATAAAGTTTCGCAATACGCCTATACATATGCATGACCTGTCCCCACGTTATTTCCATGAACCCCTCCCAACTGCGCCTGCGCAGTGCCTTCTGGTGGTGGTCGCTGAGGGTCGTGAGGATGAAGACCGGTGGCTCCTCTTCATCAGCGCTAGTAACCCCTTGCTCTTACGCAGACTCAGTTGCTCCTTGGCTTTCGTCCAAGCCAAAGGGTCAGTTTCTGTCGGTTCTTATCAGGAGCTGTCCTTGTGAGGAGCCACAAATCTTCCTGCTCCTGTTAGTTTATCAGGAACTGTCCTGTAAGGGGCAAAATCTCCTTGCTAACAAAACACTAAACATCATCTACTAATTAGATTCTTTAACTATCAACAATCATTAAGCTATACCTTACTTACTGAAATTCCCTTAACTTCTTCTCTCAGTCCCCCCTTTTCTAAAAAGGTAGTAAATTCTTTTACTATGCCTGTTTCTAATACAGTGTTTCCTTATCTAACATCTTTTCAAAATACTTGTTTGACTCAAACTTGCGTTGTAACTGGTTCTTCTTCCATTCGCTCTAAGAGTCTCCTGTGCTCTGAAAACACCACAAACTGCATCAAATTGTTATACAAAGGACTATAGACAAAAAGACAATGATTATTATAGTGACAAACAATTGCCTTAACCATGTTAGGTTGGGTAGCCAAGAGGTTAACCTTTCCCACAGCTTAGAAAACCCCCAGAGGTGTTATCAGACGCCATGGCATGTAATATCTTGGCATGTTGCCAAATATCATTAACATCTGTGAGTATTTTTCCAGCATTATCCACATAAGCACAGCAGGTCTCGTTTATCAGAGTACAGACTCCTCCTGCTTGAGCAGTGAGGATGTCTAACGCTTTACGGTTTTGCCTTAACCTTTCCCACAGCTTAGAAAACCCCCAAGAGGTATTATCAGACGCCATGGCATGTAATATCTTGGCATGTTGCCAAATATCATTAACATCTGTGAGTATTTTTCCAGCATTATCCACATAAGCACAGCAGGTCTCGTTTATCAGAGTACAGACTCCTCCTGCTTGAGCAGTGAGGATGTCTAACGCTTTACGGTTTTGCCATACCATAGCTTTAAGAGATTGCATCTCTTGCTGTAAGCCTACAATTGCATCTACAGTGCAATTAGCAATAATTTCCATTTCTGCTGACACATTAACTATCGCTTTCTCTAGCTGTACTATTCCTAGTGATGGAAAAAGTGTTCGCACAAAGCTATGAAAACCAGTATTATATCTTATCAAAGGATTTGCACTTCGCTTAGTTCTAAAGGCTTTCCATGTGCCCCTAATGATACTGCTAATTTTAGAAGAATTAATCAGCTGCAAATTAGGAACCAGGAGTCTCATGGTGCATTCCCCTGTCCAATTTCTGGGTAGCTGTTTCCTGGCCAATTGATCTCCACACAGCCACCATAACGCTTCTGGTAAGTTACAGGTAGCATTTATGCTAAAGTTGTTATTGGTGGTGCTTAATCCCCCAGAACAGTCTGCCCATCATTGTGCTCCATGTCCCTGTGAAAATTTTGACGCCTTGTTGTAGCCGCTGTGAGATATTATCAACGCAAGTGTCGTCCAGTTTCCTTCCGTCTGATTAAACCTTTTCAGGTACATACCATTCTCAGTTGTATAATTAACATACACTACTGTTGTATTGATTAGCGTTGGAGTATAGTGTTGATCTTGATATGGTACAAAGCCGTGTCTACAATGATGACTTGTATTAAGCGTCTCGTAGTGATTCTGATCTGTCCAATCGCTCAGAGGAATGCCCAACAACGGGTCCTGGATTTGTTCTGCGGTCCCACAAATCCAACAGTTGGTGATATTAGTGTGATTAACTGCATTTTGTAAAAGTGACACAAACGTATTTGCTGTAAAAACCGCGTGGACGCTGCTCACAGTTATCAGTCTAAGCAGAACTGTCACTATGGTTTTACTACTCTGTCCCATTATCTCTGCTTGATCTATCGTTCTGTTTTATAACAAAATATCTAATATACCCAAAATCCTCTGTTCTCTTAACTCTGTTATACTGTATATACCGTGGGGAGAGTGCCTAGTTCAAATACCACCAGGATTACACAAATCTTAATCTGTGTTTTACCTACGCAGTTTGAGCTTTACATAAAGTTTGAGCTTTAGGGGTCCCTGGACCTCAGAGGTCCAAAACTTTCGTGGTGTTTTTTTCACCCTAGTGTGATGTATCCAGGCGTTCTGCTCTTTGATCTTGATTTCTGTAAAGGAGGTAAGGAGTACTTCGAATGGTCCTTCCCGCTGTGGCTCCAGAGTCTTTTCTGCAAGAGACTTTATATATGCATAATCTCCAGGTTGTATATTATGTACAGGTCCATCTAACTCTCTTCCCCAAGTCCCAATCACATGCTTTCTGATTCTATTGAGCTGCTTGCCCAATGCCACTATGTAGGAAGTCATGATTTCATCCCCAGCTTGTACGGACATCCCTCTCTGTATTCCATAAGGTCGTCCATACAAGATTTCAAAGGGCCTCAATCCTTCCTTTGTCCTTGGTCTTGTTCATATGCGTAAAAGGGCTAGAGGAAGAGACTGAGGCCAGGCTAAGTTTGCTTCTTGTCCCAATTTAGCGATTTGCTGTTTGATTAAGTGGTTCGTTTTTTCTACTTGGCCACTCGACTGAGGGCGATATGGGGTATGAAGCTGCCAGTTTATACCCAAATGGCGACTAGTTTGTTGTACCACTTTTGAGATAAAATGTGCTCCTCTGTCAGAGGATATGATTACCGGAACCCCAAAACGTGGTATTATCTCTTGTACTAATATTCTAGTCACTTCCCGAGCCTTGGCTGTCTGAGTCGGGAATGCTTCTGGCCAGCCTGAAAAGGTATCAGTCAATCCTAGTAGGTACCGATACCCCCCTTTTCTTGGGAGTTCTGTAAAATCAATCTGTCATTGTTGTCCAGGTCCATTACCTTTCCCAATTTGGCCCATTTCTGGCTTGGGGTTATTTTTGGGATTAGTCTGGAGGCAAAGATCGCACTGCTGAGTCACCTGCCTCACCGTGGTGTATAAATTTCTGGCCACAATTTCTCTAATTAAATGTTTGTATAAAGCCTCCATCCCCCAATGTCTTTTCTTATGTTCTTCTCTTATCAAATGCCGTATCAGGCAGGAGGGAATGATTAGTTTTCCCCGTGGGGTGTGAGCCCACCCTTCTTTGTTATACAACCCTTCTAGGTCTGTGATAAGTTTCTGATCTTCCTTGGTATATTCTGGCTTACCTTCTAGGGAGATTTGCTCATCAGGGACCAAAGCTCCTTCTATTTTTACCTCTGCTTTGGCTGCTTGTTTTGCCTCTCTGTCCGCCAGTTCATTCCCTCTCTCCAATTCTGAGCTCACTTTTTGGTGTGCCTTAATGTGCATGATTGCCACTTTCTCAGGGAGTTGGACTGCCTCCAACAACCTCAAGATTTCTTCTGCATGTTTGATGTTTTTCCCTTGAGAATTCAATAATCCTCGTTCTTTCCAGATTGTTCCATGCGCGTGCACAACCTCGAAGGCATATTTTGAGTCTGTATAAATATTCACAACTTTGCCTTGGGTCAATTCCAAGGCACGGGTTACAGCAATTATTTCTGTCTTTTGTGCAGAGGTATTCATGGGCAAAGGTCTTGACTCTATTACTTCTTGATTGGTGGTAATGGTGTATCCTGCATGTCTCTTACCACTTAGGACATAGCTGCTTCCATCTGTGAACCAGTTTTCCCTGCTTTCCATAGGGCTGTTTCTCAGGTCTGGGCGGCTTGCATATGTTGCTTCAATAGTCTCCAAGCAGTCATGATGCACTGGTTCTCCTGTGTCTCCACTGAGGAAAGAAGCTGGGTTGACAATGTTAGTAACTACGATCTCCACATCATCCCGTTCTACCAGTATAGCCTGATACCTCAGGAATCTTTGTGGAGAAAACCAGTGCCCACCCTTCGCTTCCAGCACTGCGGATACTGTATGGGACACCAAGACAGTCATTTTCTGGCCCAGGGTAAATTTTCGGGCTTCTTGTATGTTCAGTATTACAGCTGCAACCGCTCGCAGGCATCCAGACCAACCCTTCGCAGTTGTGTCCAGCTGTTTGGAGAAGTAGGCAACTGCTCGTCAATATGGACCCAGATCTTGTGCTAATATCCCCAGGGCAATCCCCTGCATCTCGTGGGAGAAAAGGAAAAACGGCTTGCTCACGTTTGGAAGCCCCTAAGGCCGGAGCCGACATCAAAGCTGTTTTTAGTAGCTCAAAGGTTTGCGTGGTCTCCTTGTTCCATTTAAGGTGCTTCTGTTCAGTGGCTATTAGTGTATGTAATGGTTTAACAAGCAGTCCATAGTTATAGATCTACAGTCGGCACCACCCGGTCATTCCCAAGAAAGTCCGTAACTCTTTCACTGTCTGAGGTCTCTGAGTTTGGCATATTGCCTCTTTGTGGGCCTGTCCCGGAGTTCGTTGTCCAGCACTAATTTCATAGCCCAAATAAATCACTTTGTGCTGCATTACTTGGGCCTTCTTCTTGGATACCCGGTACACTTGGAGCCTCAAGAAATTTAATAGGCTCACCGTCCAGGTCATACAATCGTCCTCTGTTTTGGTGGCAATGAGGATATCATCCACATATTGTAACAGTTTCTCTTCTTCAGATGGGATTTCCCAAGATTCCAAGTCTTTTGCAAGCTGATTGCCAAAGATGGTAGGACTGTTCTTAAATCCTTGTGGCAACACCGTCCAACTGAGCTGAGTCTTGCGGCCAGTTTTGGGGTTTTCCCATACGAATGCAAATAACTTTTGGTTGGCTTCATGGAGAGGGAGGCAAAAGAAGGCATCCTTCAAATCTAAAACAGTAAACCAAGTTAGTTCAGGTGTTAATACAGTCAACAGGGTATATGGATTCGCCACTACGGGGTAAAGGTCCTCAGTTATCTTATTTACTGTAGATCCTAGGCCTGTAGATCCTGGACCACACTGTATGACCCGTCAGGCTTACGAACCGGTAATATAGGGGTGTTAAAATCAGACTCACATTCTTTTAATAATCCTAGATCATTGGCCGAATTCCTTCCCTATCTTCCTTCTTTAGGGGATATTGCTTAACTCTTGCCGGTTGCCAGCCTTCTTTGAGTCTAACTTCAACAGGTAGTGCATTCTTCGCTCTTCCAGGTACATCAGTGGCCCATACCCCAGGATATACCTGGTTTAAGATTTCCTCCCTATTCTTTCCTTCTGAGGGGAGACTGGTTAAGAATAGATTCAGTATCTGTATATATTGCTGATCTTTTACTTCCAGAGTAATTTCTCCTTTTTCAAATGTAATTTTTGCACTCAATTGTTCCAACAAATCTCTTCCCAAGAGTGCCTTTGAGGAGTTGGGCATATACAGGAATTTGTGGATACCCCATTGTTTTCCCAATTTACACTTCAAAGGTTTACAAAAATATGTCTTTTCACTTTGGCCAGCCGCCTTTTTTACCATGATGTAGTCGCTCCCCAGGGGCATCAAGGTTTGATTTAAAACAGAGTATGTTGCCCCTGTGTCAACCAAAAATTCTACTTGTTGTTTCTTTCCTAGCCTCATTATAACCAGTAGATCTGCTAGGGTAGATTCCCCAGGTCCCCATCAATCCTCTTTCACATGAGCTACTATTCTTCCTTTCCCTCTTCACCTTTTTGGACATTCATTCTTCCAATGTCCTGTCTGCTTACACCAAGCGCACTGATCCTTTCCTAGGGGTACCCTGGGTCTCGTTCTTCTAGCTCCCTCAGCTTCTTGTAATGCTACTACCAAGGCCCGTTTATCCTTTCTTCGGCCCTCCTCTTCCCTGTTGCTAAACACTCTCCAAGCTTCATCTAACAGGGTTGCCAAATTTCTACTTTCCGTAGGGCACAGCTTTTGGAGTTTGCACCTAATATCTCCCATAGACTGCCTCAAGAACAGGGAGACTAATTGTTGTATCCCTACCTCTGATCCAGGATCCAGCGGTGTGCTATGGCGCATTACATCCCTCAATCAACCCAGGAACTCAGATGGGGACTCAGAAGGACCTTGTTTAACTGCATATAGAGCTGACCAGTTTATGGTTTTGGGAATAGCTCTTTCCATTCCCTTTGAAATCCATTCTTGATATTCCTGTAACCTTTCCATATAGGCTGATTTATTAGCATCCCATTTTGGGTCTTGGAGGGGAAAATATTCTTTGACATCCTCCCTGTGATCTTGTAATGGTCTTCAGCTAAATTCCCTGCTGTTTTCAAAATTATTTGCTTTTCTGTTTCTGTCATATATTCTAAGAGCAACTGTATATCTTTCCAGTCTGGATTATGTTGGTTTACTATGAACTGAAAATGCTTAGTAAAACTCACCGCGTCGCTTCTATAGTCCCTTGCAACTTTTCTCCATTCTCCTAGATCAGTGGTAGAAAAGGGCACCTTAATCATCATTGTCCATCAGGCCCCACTGCCTCTTGGAGAGTGGCTTGTAAAGCTGTAGGGACAGTCCTAGAGGCAGTTTTCTTCCTTGTGCGGGAGGATATGGGACTGTCCAGGGGAGTGGAGTTTTCATCCGAGTCTGCATCTTGTTCCTGTGATCGAGGGGGAGGCTTAAACAAATCAGTTAGATCTTGTTCTGGTGCCTGGTGAATTTTGTCTACTTTAGTACATCTTTGTCCAATACTACATGCCGAACAACACCGCCTCAGTTTTCCCTTAAGTTCCTTATTATTTTCTCGCTCAAGTGCGAGTACCATAGGGTCCTGTGGTGGCAGCATTCCACAGTCCCTTTGCCACTCCGGATGGTTTCAGAGGGTGAAAAACATATCTCCACATGAAACTTCATCCCACTTCCCTTCTCTCCTTAAAAACAACATCAATTGTAAGAGAGTGTTATAATCTATAGATCCGTTAAGTGGCCACTTAGCTTCGCCTTCTAATTTATACAACGGCCACCATTGATTACAATACTTGATATGGATCTTTTTACTTTCTGTCCCTCCAGTCTCAACAGTGTCTTTCCAATGAGCAAGCACACAGCCTAAGGGACTTTACTTCAAAATTCCCCCTTGAGCGTTACACGTTTTGTAACTTCTATTAGTCTTTTATTTTGGCTTTTGCTATCTTTTTAGTAAGTTTCCATGCAAATCGTTTCTTGTAATTCCCCATGGTTCTCTCCCACACGACCAAATTTCCGGGATCAAGTTTTCCTTTCCACACACCAATTTCACTATTTCAGATTCTTGTTGAGCTCTTTCCCAATCATAAAACTGTGGGCTTTGGGGGAAAGCACATAGGGCACTTTGCTTTCCGCCTACTGGATATACAATACCACCTTCTTCCCGCAAGATTTACACCTCAACAAAACCCAAGCCTGGCGCCAAATTTCATATAGCCTAGGAACAAATCCACATGTAAAACAGGGAATTATTCCTATTTGTCCACCAACACTGGGACTTATAAAGACATCTGAAGGCTGCTCCCAATCTAAGGCCACTCTCCGCCCTGCGGGAGTCACATATGCTCCTTTTGAATAAAATTTTTCGTTTCCCATTCTCATCCAATGCCCTCCTTCATTTAAATATTCCCAAGGTTCGAGCCCGAACTACGGAAGGGGTGATCCCAAACCACCAAAGGAGTGATTCCCTTCACCCTGCTCCTTCATTAACATATAGAAGCATTCACAACCTATCTAAACATTATACACACTCACACAAAGACAAAGACTTTTAACATAAAATTCCCAGGCATTCAAATCATACAATTATCACTGCAGCTAACTTCCATCCAGCAGCTGCAAATATAATCCGCAATTGCGAGAGGCCCGCTTACCCTTCTCCTGCTTCTTGTACACCAGTCATTAGCAGGTCCGTCCTGGCTCCCGACACTGGGATGCAGCGGCGACCTCAGGTGTGCTCGATCCACGCCCAAGATCGCTAGCGGCCGCCCCATCGGTCAGCAAATCCCCTCGTTACCATGCAGGGTACCCCTTCCCACACGGGGACTCTGCTGCACGCCAGACGTCTCTGCGCGATTTACCAGCTGCCCCGGCCACGCGTACGACTTACAGGCCCCTCCTATAAAACATACCGTTTTCTCCCGCGGCTTCAGCAGGTTGTTGTCTGCTCCCGCGGTGAGCGGCTGGCAGCGGAGGC